ATGTATGTAATGTATGTATGTATGTATGTATGTATGTATGTATGTATGTATGTATGTATGTAATGTAATGTATGTAATGTAATGTAATGTATGTAATGTATGTATATGTATGTATGTATGTATGTATGTATGTATGTATGTATGTATGTATGTATGTATGTATGTATGTATGTATGTATGTATGTATGTATGTATGTATGTATGTATGTATGTATGTATGTATGTATGTATGTATGTATGTATGTATGTATGTATGTATGTATGTATGTATGTATGTATGTATGTATGTATGTATGTATGTATGTATGTATGTATGTATGTATGTATGTATGTATGTATGTATGTATGTATGTATGTATGTATGTATGTATGTATGTATGTATGTATGTAATGTATGTATGTATGTATGTAATGTAATGTAATGTAATGTAATGTAATGTAATGTAATGTAATGTAATGTAATGTAATGTAATGTAATGTAATGTAATGTAATGTAATGTAATGTATGTATGTATGTATGTATGTATGTATGTATGTATGTAATGTATGTAATGTATGTACATATTGGATGTATTCATGTAATGTAATGTATGTATGTATCTCATGTTATGTGATGTTATGTTATGTTATTTCATGTAATGTAATGTAATGTAATGTATGTAATGTATGCAATGTATGTACTGTATGTACTGTATGTGGTGTATGATATATATGCAATGTATGTAATGTATCTAATGTATGTAATGTAATGTAATGTAATGTAATGTAATGTAATGTAATGTAATGTATGTATGTATGTATGTATGTAATGTATGTAATGTATGTATGTATGTATGCATGTATGTATGTATGTAATGTATGCAATGTATGCAATGTATGTAATATATGTAATGTACGTAATGTATGTATTGTATGTAGTGTATGTAATGCATGCAATGTATGTAATGTATGCAATGTATGTAATGTATGTAATGTATGTAATGTATGTAATATGTAATGTATGCAATGAATGTAATGTATGTAATGTATGTAATGTATGTAATGTATGTAATGTATGTAATGTATGTAATGTATGTACTGTATGTACTGCATTGTATGTAATGTGTGTAATGTATGTCGTGCATGTAATGTATGCAATGTATGTAATGTATTTAATGTACGTAATGTACGTAATGTATGTAATGTATGTAATGTATGTAATGTATGCAATGTATGTAATGTCATGTGCTGTATTGTAATGTAATGTAATGTAATGTAATGCAATGCAATGCAATGTAATGTATGTATGTATGTATGTATGCATGTACGTATGTATGTATGTATGTATGTATGTATGTATGTATGTATGTATGCGTTTGCACATATATATATATATATATACATACCTCTTTTTATCCTGACCTTTTGGGCTGATTGGCTTGAGACTTTGCCCCTTTTTGTCATCCCCTGTGGTGATCTTGGGCGATTTCCGCTGGGCGAGCCGTTTACAGGTTTTTTCCGTCACTTCTGTCGGGGGATGGACTCAATGGCAGGCCTGCCAGCGCACCTTTCCCTTCTTTTCGGCGGCCGCGGATGCTGCCCGGAAGCTCAAGGTGAACATCTGGTGCCGGAAGGTGATGTTGACCCAGGATTAATAAACCCGTCCCATTACTAGGTAGGGGGGTGTTCCCTCCAAAAGTGGTCTGAATCCCCACTCAAAAGGGCACCCCCCCAAACAATATACCAGGGGTTTATTAATCTGGGGTTAACATTACCCATTCTTTGGTGTGGGTTTGGAGGGGATCTAAGGGTGAAGCAGCCTTTGGGCTTTCCCCTCCACCGGCTTGATCACACGCAACGGATTCGGACCAAAGACTTGACGGTTTCTTCTGTCTTCTCCTTGGGTTCAAGGTGAAAACGGTCGAACAAAGCAACTCACGGTTGGCTCGGGGCACGTGCCCAGGTTGGACTGCCTCTTTGAAAGAACTTTGAATGCTGCAAAGGACGAAGTAGGAAGGACAAAGGCTACGCGAGCAAGGTGTACAGCTTGTTCCAGGCTAAACCTGGGCTTTTTTTGTTGAGAAGTCCATCCACAAATCCAAAAGGGGCTTCCTATTTCTGTGCCTGGCCAGGTTTCCCAAGCCATCCACAAACGGGCTTCCAGGTTTTGTTTTTGCACGCAAGCAGGTTGTTTACCTCGTCGCCCCATCCAACAACCTGCAATCCCCGTGCCCCGAGAAAAAACCTGAGCGCAGCAAACCTCTCGCGAAGCCGAGGTCGCGGGCACGGATGCCGGGGAGCTTGGTGGCGCGTCGCGCGTGTTTTTGGAGGGCGAAGCGCGAATGTCTTTTTTGTCGCGGGGAGCTTGGCCATGTTGGTTTTCGGAAGTGGCCGTGGCTCCAAAAAATACGGAAAGCATGCGTAAAAGGCTTTGGTTTTTTTGGAGAGACCAAAATGGCACCCTTGGGAAATGGAGCCAAAGACCAACAGCTGCGTAGCCCTGGATCTTCAAATCTTGAGCCATACCCAATGAGTTCCTTCAATCGTGCTGGTGAAGCCGGGCGTGTTGGTAAGACTGGGTTCGCCTGAGCCACAATCGAAACCCGGGGTGGGTGAAGGTTTCTACTGGGCTAAGCCCAGTCAGGTTTTCGTGGGGTTTTGGGTAGACCATTTCAATATCGATCGGTTGTGATGCCGCAGGTTTTCGTCCTTGGTTCCATTTACCAGCACAAGCCATGTTGGGGATTCCTAGTTTTGAGCCACCGCCATGCGTCAGCCAGGGCGTCATGCTTGACAAGCTCGGGGTTTTCCAAGGTGCCGGTCTCCTTTGCGCACGTGGAGTGCACTGATGACAAGGTCATCTCCTCCTGCCTCCGCCTGCGGAAGACTTGGTTCGTTTGTTTTCTTTTTGGGTCGAGTGGCTATGAATTTGAAGAGGGGACCACCTCAAAGGTATTTGGTGGACATGAATCCCCACACCAAGGTTTGATGTCCACCAAGGGGTGAGCATGAAGATTCACATCCAAGTGAGACACGGAATCGGGATTGAACAACCGGAGAACGGTCAATTAGAGGATCCCATCGCAGGCCCAACTGTCGATGAATTCCACAAATTGTTGTGGCAAGATGGCGCCCCAGAAATCGTCCTTTTCTAAAACCATAGGTTTCTCGTTCAAGCAACACTAAGAAGGGGTGCCGGCGGCCGGGTTTCCACATGAGAGCATTTCTTATGACATTCGTGGGGGTTGGTACAGACTCGGTTCTGGAAGGTTGCTTGCCGGGAATCTGCGCGAGATGTCCTTCGCTGCTCAAAACCGAGGCTCCAAGGTTTGCCTTCAAAGTCAGTTTCCTTTTGGGGACTTCTGGATTTGATTTACTGGGAGGGGGCAAACCTCAAGCCACTGGCTGGCACCCAAGCTCTTTTTGTGGCATCTCAAATTTTTACCAGCAGTTTCTTTCCTTCCTTTTTCAAGTTGGAGAAGTGGGATGGGGAATGCATCAGGCTATGGCCAACACCCCCCATAGCCAAAGCTTCAGCCACTTCGGTCCATAGCTCACGCCGATCCTTCGGCTCCGGGGCGAAGCCCTGTTCCAGGCCTGGATAGGGATGGGTGTGGGATAGATGGGATGATTTTTTTTTTGTCTCCTCCAAAAGAAATGACGTAGAAACAGAACACACAAACACGACATTTGCTTTCAACCAACCCCCAATGCTCTTTAGTATTCAATGCAGGACATGGAACTGAACCGCTTACGAGAAGCCCCTTTTCCACGGTGTGTTTCTCAAAAAAACCCTTCGGGTCGGTCGGTTTCCTTTGGGTTTCCGAAAAAAAGCAAGAAGGAGACCCCTATCTTGCCAGAGCTGCCGAATTTTGGTCCCCAACGCTCCTTTGATTAAGGGGGTTGAAGAGGGTAATTCGGGACCTTGGGCACCGAAGGAGAAAGGGTTCCGCCAATGAAAGGGACACAATCTCAAGGCCGTGCTTTAATCAGCTTCTGATCTTGGCCCGGCCCAGCGTTTCACCGGGGCTTGCCAGAGGCAACCAGAGGCAACCACCCCAAGGACTGCTGCAAGGCCCATGCTCCCGATTTCCACCTCCGAATTTGCGTGGTTTTGGTTTGGTTGGACAGATCTCTCTTGGCTTGAAAGAGAAGCCGTGAATGGAGTTGGTTCCTCTTTCCATCATGGAGTTGGCGCAGAAATTCTCTCTTTTGGCTCCTCGCTCGAGGATTGATCGTTTGCTCATGAAGTTGAAGAGCCGGCGGTGATTCGAAGCCCTCCGCTCGTCAGCTTTGATGGTCCACAGTGGGAGAGAGCGAGCAAGCGCTGTGACCCAAAACGGCCCACAACAAGCCCGCGGACACACACAAGGGGAGGGAACTGCTTGCACTGCTTAGTATGTGTTTCTCTTTTTTTTCTTCTTCTTTTTTCTTCTTCCTTTTTTTTTTTTTTTTTTTTTTTTTTTTTTTTTTTTTTTTTTTTTTTTTAAAAAAAAACAATAGTGCTGTGAATTTTCTGGTTGCCGGTTTTTGTTCTGTTCGTTTTAAGTGGGGGCGAGAGCAAAGTGTTTCCTGGTAGCAGGCCAGCCTTAGGATGTGGGAAGACGGAAGAGCCGCGCCTTTATGCCAAAGCTGGCGTCACCCCTTGACCCCTATCTAGGTCCCCCAGTAGTGCCCTTTTACTCTTTTTTTGGGGAGGGTTCCCCTACTAAAATAGACTACAGAAAAATCTCTGGACCTAGCTATTACCCCACCACTTCGAGCGGAGGGCCTGCCACCAAGCGGAAGAACGAGAACGACATGGTCCCAAAGGAAATCCGCGCCCACCCGAGCCCTACCCAGCTCTATAGACAGATGTCTCCTGGAAAAAACGATTTGGTTGGGTGCTTTGAAGCAACAAATCAAACCCCAGAAGCCGCCAAAAACATTGATCATGGGCAACTTTTCCCGAGGAACAAGTCATTTTTTGGTTTCCCCGAGTCACCCAAGCCTACGGGAGAATCGGAGCGAACCGGCGCGCCATGCGCGCGTTCGCAGCATGTCTCCTGAGGCGGATCGACGGCTCTTGGTTAGGGGGTCTGTGGAACTTTTCGGGGGGTGCCGTGTTCAGGGTGCCACCGGTTTGTTTGTTTGTTTGTTTGTTTGTTTGTTTGTTTTTTTGGAGATGCCGTTTTTCTTTTTGGCGATGCCTGCGTTTATTGGCGGTTTGTGGGGCGGGTCCTCGCCCTTTGATGTTGAACTAGATGAAACCAAAAGGAAACCTTTACCTGGAGGGGGCGAGTAATTCTGAGTACCAACACGTTTACGTCGATGCAGTGCAAAGCACCTCTGACCAAAAGACCAGCCAAATTTTTGCACACGGAGGTGCATCAAAGCTAGTCGGTCGATGTCATGTCGGTTGACCTTGCAAGATTGTACTTGTCGGTTGACCTTGACCTTGTCGGTTGACCAAGCCAGGGCCAGTTCGGATGATGCGTAAACCGTCCACAAGCCCTCAGGGATCCAAGTCATCCAAGTCGACGAGCCATATTTGATCTGCATCTCCTACTGACTTCAGGGGGATAGCACCCGCCACTGCCAGTGGACAGGGACGGTCTCGGATTCTGCTGGGCCACGGTATGTAAGAGAAGGAAGATTGAAACCCTTTGGTAAACCAAGCAAGTCCAGATATCTCTCACCAATGTATACACGTGTATATATATATATATATATATATATAAAAACCGAAGCCAAAACCACAACTGAGAACGCCCATATCGTCTGTGCATGTTCTGCTCATTTACCCTCCCCCCAGTGGCCATTTGAGCCATTTGGCAACAGCGAGCGAGACGAGCAAAGTGGGAAAGGCGCAGCTTGCATGTCTCTGTTCGTAGAAGGGTCCAAGCAAAAGCAAGGATAAAGCGGGCCCCACCAAAAAAAAGCCAGAGCTGCATATTTTGCCAGGGAATGTCAGGACTTGTTTTTTAAACTTTTTGCAACGAATGGGAATTTTTCCCCCATTTCGCCCCAGAAAAGTTCGTCACTTTGAGCAGGGCGAAGCACGGAAAATCGCCGAGAGAAGGTCCACCCAGGTCCCACGTCCCGGGGTCAGTTTTCAGGCTGGCGGTTGCCCAGGAGCTGAGCGAGGGGCGGGGCGGCCGAAGCAACGGTGGCGAGTGCCCAAGTGGTCTGAAGCCCTAAACGGGGACACTGGAAAATGGGAATCAGCCAGATTTGTTTTATGGATCTGGGGTTAGCAAGCTTCCAGCTAGGGATTGGCATTGGCTCCAGCACTCTATCTTCTCACCTTTTTTGCTGCTGGACCTGGGGACATTCCTGGGCTTTTCTCAAGATCTGGAAGGGTTCGGGTTCTTTTGTTTGGCGGCGAGACTTGAGTGGACCCATTTTTTTCTCAAGCCGCCCGGCCGCAGGATCCAACGGCGCCGCCGGGATTTCTGGGGCAGCTGCAAGGCCGGTTTTCTCTCATATTTTTTTCCAACACTCACAGAAAAGCGGCACCTGGCAGCGAATCATGGGCACAGTTCCCTCTTTGATGTTGTCAAGGATGGCCTGAGACGCTTAAGACGGTAAGATGGCTTGGGGTCAACCATAGGTACCCATTTGGGAATCCGGATAAATGAACACCTGGACCAGAACTTGCGGTCCAATTCCTGGTGCTTTAATTTTGACCCATAGATTCCAGATTCCATGCCATCGCGCCTGGTTTTTTGCGCCCAGGGCTATACCTCGTGGCGTGTCGTCGTAGGCCGGCCGGCGTCAAAGTCCGCTCCGATCGCCAGGCCACCAGGCGCCCATCTACGCGCTGGCCACGGGGCAAAACGACTTGGCGGCCTCAGGGTCTAAGGCGCGGATTACGAGCTGTGAGGGTCGTTGGTTCGAGCGAGCCGGCGAGGGCTCCGCGCGCGTTTTTGTTTTTTGTTTTTTTTCAATCTCAAGTTGACACATGTTGGGCGTGGTCAAAATAGTTGGTAACCCCAAAATGGGTTGCCCTAGTAAATGGTGTGGTGGTCAATCATCCGTCTCAGTTGTTGAAAGCCCACCTTGTAACCATTTGGTTCTTTGTGAAGGTTCCAAAAGGTTAACCTTGTGGTTCCAGGTCCTTTGCGCACCTGAGTAGTTGGTAACCCCAAAATGGGCTGCCCCCAAAAAAGGAGACAGGGACGATTGAACCTGTGGTCTAATTCCTGGTGGTTTTCATTTTTGACCCATACCCAGTTCTTCCCATGTTGACCCATACCCAGTTTCCCATCGTACTGTCAAAGAACAGTTTGTCGGGCGAACACGCAGTGACCTTCAACAACCGAGACCTTTCGAAGGAAGCCTAAAAGGAGGCTGTTTAAACTCTTGTCTTCTTCTTTCTTTGGTTCTGAAGGTGCCGTTTGGTTCTTTGGCCCTCATTTCAGTTCAGAAGCTGCAAAGATCATTCTGTTTGTTGATAGAGGTTAAAGGGAAGGGCGCGAGCAAAATCCCTCCCTTGTTTTTGGGTTGTTGGAAAACGGAAGCCGGGCAGGTTGGGTTCCATATCTGCATTGGAGGATCCGGTTGGCGTTTGTTTGTTGATTCAAATTGGCCATCCGATCTGGTGCTGCGATTGCGGGGGCATCAATTTTCTCGGCGTCGGTCTTGGGCTGCTAAACACATGGCCGTGGCTCAAAAAAGTGGAGCCCATGTTTTGGGCCTCTTGGATGGAAAGCCCATGAGAGTTTCGCCTGATTCTTCCACATTGGAGTTCTGCTGGACCGCCCATTGAGCCGCGCAACACCCATCAGGACGGCGCCATCTTGGTGTGGAACCTCTCGCTCCCCGAAGCCGAGCGGCGCGGCATGAGACCATTTTGGGGCTTGGACAGGGGGGGGGGGGGGGACCCAGGTAGATGGGTCTGGAACCAGCCAGGCAAAGTCTGGTTCCAGAATTTCGTTGTAGCTAAACACTGGCTTTGCGAGTTGAAACCTGGAACGAAGCAAGTGTGGCAGTGTACCTGGCTCAGTTTGTTTGTGAAGGGACCATTTCCCTGCCCGGTGTCGTGTTAGTGGGACGGAGGACAGGCGTCCTGCGGTGAGTTGCTTTGGCTTGCTTTCTTTTTCTGTTGCTTTGGTTCGGGGTCCCAAAAGGCTCTCTTGGTGGCTGGTGATGTTTAGAAGTAGCTCATTGTCCTCTCCGGTTTCTGGACAGAGTGTTTGGACTGGGGCGCTCGTTTGGTTCCAGTCATTCGCCAGTGGAATCCATCTATTTTCCACCAGGACGCCTGCGCTGCAGATCGATTTTAAGGGTCGCTTTGCCCGGCGAGTGGAACGACCAATCCCCACAGGCCAAGTGGCGAAGCACGTTCGCAAACCCGGCCTGGTTGAGGATCCTTGGGAGGGGATATGACCCTTCTGCGATGGGAGAATCGGAGCCTTCAGAACTGCATTGGTGGAAGAAGCAGCCTTTCCGCGCGAAGCGAGCCACCTGGGTTTACCGGAGATTGTGCGTGTCTACCTGTGCTTATGTTGTTTTGTCTTTCCAATTGGAAATCACTCAAAGAAGGAGGACCCTTCTGTCAAAGCTGTCCGAATCTCCCATACGTTGAACCCGAAAATGTAAACTTACCGATAGGCCAAAGGAGGTCCCAGAACGAGAGTTTTTCTCTCGCTCAACCTTCGCAGGGCTGGCAACCTGCCAATATACCAAAAATGAGCAGGTTACTCGATTCGACAGTTATTCCACCTCTGAGGTGTACTTGCGACTGGATGATCCTCAGTGTTGTTTGGAGCGGGACACCCTTTACGATTGTGGCGCGCAATCGTACCAGGTTACTCAAAACGTATTGCCATTATTTGCGACTATCTGCCAATAGGTGATCCTGGCATCCGCAACACATGGGTTGCATAAATCCAAGCATGGGGGGGGGGTTGGTCATTATTTTCCTGGCCATGGCGAAAACTTTTCCCCTCCAGCGGGCATAATCTTTTTAGCGGGTTCCCCCTCATGGTTATCGGCTTGATCCATCCCCTTCTCTGGACCTCACCCCCGGCGTCTTCTGGCGCCCGAGGCCGCAGAGGCGAAGCGGGGTCCGAGGACGAAGCGGGGCATCGGAGACCAAAGGCGAAAACGGAGACCAGGGAAGGCCACCGAACAAAGACGACCTGAGCCACGTCCTCAAAACCGATTCGGGTAGATGAAGGTTAGTAAGGGACAATCCCAACCATAAATAGCCGCGGATATCCGCCCTCCTTCTTCTTTACATGGTTCTGGGATTACGACCATTTTAATACCGGGTTTTGATGATGACTCAGGTGGCCAGCTGGTTTAGCAGATCTTTTCCACCTGAGGTTGTCTTTTCATGTATCCTTTAAGGAATTTAGGAGATGGCCTTCGTCAAGGGGGATGTTTTGAATGTATCCTTTACGGAACTCTGACTTAGTCATAGGTGAATGGGAGAGCGGTGGGAATCAGGGTTGCAACCTGACGCCTCTTGTAGGAACCATGTCCCGGGCCGCGAAAGGACGACCTTTTGACCCTTTAGGTGTTGCCATGACTTCCCCTTTAGGGATCTCCTGTCTGGATTTCTTTTGACACACAGAGCTGAGTGTCCAGTGTCGTGATCCCAGCAGTTCACATGTTGCCAGCTGACCGGCAGTCTTACGCGTCCAATGCGCCAGCTCCAAGCCCACCGAAGCTTCCCTTCCCCACTCCAGCCGCTTGGCTGGACATAGATTTTCACGTAGATGCTCGCCAAAGGGAGTGCCCCATTTCCCTTCCAATCCTTGAAGTGGACAGGGGGATCTACGTCCCAGCGTCAGCTTTTGGCAGGGGAAGCATGCCTCCTTGAGCCGCAACCTACACCCGAGGGCAAGGGACCCGGTCTTGGGGGAATTGAACCCGGCGTGATCTTTTTGACTTCCATTTACCTTGCCGGGTGAATTCCGCGCCACAACCCGGAAAAGTCGTGTTGCAACCTTCTTCCCTGCTCCTCGCGCCAGCCGTTTTGAACTTTCACCTCAGGCGTTGACATGGCGCCTCACTTCGGCGCAGGCTCTCGGGGCACCGCGGCGTCACGGCCCTGGCCTTCGCCGGGCGCAACTTGGTCTCCGGGTCCGCGGACAACGAGACGCGGCTCTGGGATCTGGCTGGAAGCTCAGGGGAAGGGGTGTGGGGTGTGGGGGCTGGCGGGTCTTCGTTGCAGGGCTGGACCTGTTCAACTGCATTTTTGTTCTTTCATGAAACCCGAACCCCAGGAGCAAGACACATTTTTTTGGGGGTCTGCGGCCCTTTTTTTAAGGGGGAATCAAAAACTGGTGGTTTTCGTTTGGCTTCCCGCGAACGCCACCCAAAAACCACGGGCTCTGACCTTGCCCGGCTGAGGCCACTGGCCAAGTGCTGCGCCGCTGGCGGCACCCCCGGACTGCCTGGGGCCCGGCTCCCGAAGAGTTGTTGGGTTTTTGTTGCGGGCAGATTCCCAGGAAGCGTTGCGAATGGTTCTGGTCTTTCAGCACGTCAAGCAGAAAGCCAATGCAGAAAACCACTCGGAGACTTGTGGCCAGATTCGGAGGGGGCCGATTGTCGACGCAATTGCTGTTGAATCGCGCGGCTGTTGGTTTAGATCCTGTTGTAAGTTGGCAAATGTGCCATGGTCAAAAGAACCAACTTCTTTGGGTACAAAGATTTTGTGATCAGGCCGCTGAGAGACAAGTGAGTGACCGGAGAAGATCGATTCTAGATGCTTTGTGGCCGCTTTGCACTCACGTGAACTCGCAGAGCCGTCAAAATTGGGACGCGGAACTTTGTGGTTTGGCTTTAGACGCCACTGTTTTTGAGGCCTTTTTTTTTTTATGTTTGCTTGTTTGCTTCCTTCCCTCCTTTCTCCCTCCCTTTCTCACTTTCTCCTTCCTTTCTGAGTTGATACCTTGCCTGGTTTCTCAGGGGAACCAACAGCGAGCTTGGCCAATGTTGGCCATGAATTTCTTTACACCGTTAATTTGCAGAAGAGACTTTGCAGGCTCGAACCCCAACAAAAGTTCATTAGCTGGCTCTTGCTGACATGATCCTCAGGTGTAAGTTAAGCAACCACAGATCCTTTGTTTTCCAATCCTTCCCCCTTTTTTGGAAGAATCACACATTACAAACTTATGTCGATCGCGCTATGTTTGGGCCATAGAGTGTGCCCGGTTGCAACTGAGCAACTGAACATGGTACAATCCCTTGGGATAAGCCTTCTGGAGATGCCCCCTCCATTTGAAGGGCTTTCGTCGTTTTGGAGGAACTTTGCAGAAGCTTAGCTTTGTTCTTGAGACGCTTCGCACCCCCCCCTCCCCCCCTCCTCTTCCCCCGAACCAACACACAACTCCCAACTCGATGGCAGGTCTTTGGGCTGTCAGTGTCAGGCTTGGGGCGGGAAACGGGGCTTGGGGAGTTTGCAGGCATTTGGGGGTTTGGGAATTCTGTTGTTTTTTGAAACACCGGTATCTGGGAACCTTTTTCTTCTCCTTTTTTGTGACGGGTTCGCAATATGTCCCCTTTCGGTGGTGTCAAACCTCAGCTTTTCCGGATTTCCTCCCTTTCCCTTTTTGGAAGCTTCAAAAGGGGGCAGTTTCAAGCAGCCAACTGATCAACCTTTGATTTAAAGATTCGAAAATCCGACGACCCCTCCTTTTGGTTTCCATTTGTGAAGGGATTGATGTTCAAACGGGAAATGGGGAGTTGGAGTCGGAGCCATGCTGCCCAGATTGATACAGCAATGGATCATCAGGGTGGTTGCAGCCCGAAAAGGAAAAGATGCCTTGCGAGCTGGGACATCCTTTAATTGGACAAGGGTTCTTTGATTTTTGGGACAGATTTTCCTTGCGGAGGTCAACATATCGCAGCGCCTGCCGCTTCTCACGAGGCATTTTGGCTCGGCGCGGGCCAAGTATTGCGACCTCCTTTCCGAGCTTTCCGAGGATCCGGAGAAGCGAGCCGCGGAAAACGAAGCCTTGGAGCGCTCGAAAAATCCGGCAAAAGCAGATCGCATCCAGACGCAGGGCTCGGTCTCCGGTTCTCCGTTGGCATCGCGGCGCCGCTGTTTCGCAGCGCCTCGGGACCGAACCGAGCGCCGAACGCATGGCCTTCGACCAGCCGCGCCGGGGCGCCGCCACGCGCGCCGCGCCCAAGGCGAAAGCGAAGGCGGATGATGGGGGATGGGTGGGTGGTGGTGGGGTGGTGGTGGGTGGTGATGGGTAGCAAAGAGCTTGGACCATGTTGGACCATGGTTATACATGGGACAGCATGGGGTTGGATAACCGTGGTGCTTGGTTTTTACTTCGTCACGGGCTATCGAACATGTTTTGGGTAGCAACGGCATTGGGCTGTGCAGTGGTCTCACAACGGGGATGATTCAAAGCTGGATTGGCCAATCCTCCATTTTGTAGCAGCCCAGTGTATGCGGTGAGCAAGCTTTGCTTGATTTCGCCTGGTATTTTGTCTCCAGTTTCAATCAACCTCCAGTTTCAATCAACCAAAATGACTTGTACGCAGATGGGAAGGCCGTTTGATGGTTACTTCGGTGTCTTAGCTAAACACACTGACTTGTCTTGTGTTTTCAAGTGAATGCAAGACCACCATGTAGTGTTGCAGAGTTGTCCAACCCACCTTCGGGCAAGTCGTTTCATCCCGATTTCAAGCATCCATTGATGTGGACTGTTCAAATCAGAGGGGTTCCGAAAGCCCCCGCTTTCCTTCCATTTGCTTAAGAATATTTTTTCTGCCTCTGTCAGCTTTAAAAGGGAATCTATGACTATTGGATAAGTTTTATTTTTTTCAGAAGGGCCCCTCATGGGGGGTGGGTTTTTTAAAAGCAGGGATTTAGTAGTTTTTTTGGTTTTTGACAAACAGGGATTTAGGAGTATTTTGGGTATGTTTCCTTGGCACTTTTCCCCCCAAAAAAAAGAACCTCGAGAAAGCCAAAAAACAAAAACACCAAAATGTCAGACCCTAACTCAGCCAGCATGGATACATAGGGTCTATTTTTTGGTTTTCTCAAGGTTTTTTGCACTTTTCCAAAAAACAAAAACCTCGAGAAGACCAAACAACAAAAAATAAAACAACATGTCAGACCCTAACTCAGCCAGCATGGATACATAGGGTCTACATGTTTTTTTTGGTCAAAAACAAAACAAAAAACGAGAAAACCAAACAACACAAGCAAACAAAGACATGTCAGACCCCAACTCGGCCAAAAAAAACAAATGTCAGACCCTAACTCAGCCAGCATGGATACATACAGTCTGAAATAGGGTCTGAAATTGTGTTTTTGTTTTTTGGAGTTTCTCAAGGTTTGCTTGGTAAGAAGAAACAAATAGCCGCAAGACATTTGCCATCGTGGCCTTGGCATTTCACTTGCTAAACACAATCGAGCTCTATTCAAATGAACTGAAAGAAACAGCCAGCTTGTCGTTCCTTACCGTATTATCCAAACTATGGCTAACATTTATTTGAAGTCCTAGATACTTGGAAAGGATATCCCAGCAAAATTCTGATTCAAAACAAAAGCTATAATTGAATCAGATAGAAGAAGCTACCAGCTTGTCTCTACTTACTAAGTTCTAGCTATACACATGTCAAATACAGATCATATTTGGAATTCCCATTTAGAGTTGGATGGAATTATTGTTTACAATATACTTCCTTTTAATAAACAAATATCACACTGAATTCTACTTGACAGCATAGTTGGATAAGACCCCATTACAAATCTAAAACTAACAGTTAAAGTCAAGGCGCCCATTAACTTCTAGTTGGAACGCTTCTTGGAAGGAAAGCGCTGACTAAAATCTAGTTCAAGAAAAAGTGAAGTCTGATCGAACTCCAATTTGAATGTAAGTAAAGCCTCGCAATGAAAACCTTGCAAATAAATTGTAATGAAATCAGTTTTTCCATGGGTTTTCCACTCTTTTCAGAGGTTGCGTTGCAAATTAGAAGGAACAACCAGCTTCTCTTTCCTTATTAGATTCCCAACTAAAATCTTACACGGGAAGGGACACCTATTTACATTCTAATTCAACATACTATGTTAACTCGAAGGCTAATCGAGATATGATTCAACCTATAGCGGTGCAATCTAAAACTTGTAAACCAACAGAACTGAAATTGCCTTTCCTTTGAGTTTCTATTGGTTTGTCTCTCCTTTTCAGGGGCGATCAATTCACAAAGAAAACAACCAACTTGTCTTTCCACATAGGCTATTAAATTCTAAATCAGTTCTGATGCTAACCAGTGCAACAGGAATGACAAGAAAGATGCTAAGATAATGGCAGCTACACTGGTAATAGACAAGACACTTTTGGCGACTGGCCTTTTCTTCAACACTGTCTGATAGTGTAAGCTTGCAACTGACAAGCAATTCTGGGCCAATTTTCAAGGTCCAATTGTCTGATAAAGCCTGCTTGAAAAAGACAGCAATTTTGGGCACAACAGCCAAGGTCCCTAGCACTCAAAGTGCATAGCCCGCATACTATTGAATCTCAATCTGCCTCACTGCGCGTGGTTGAAATTGGTGCATTGTGTGGGTTTCAAAAACCCACCCCCCATGAGGGGACGCTCTCTAAAGAGGTTCTGCTTGAATCTGAAGTGGGCCTTCGCTGGCGCAGACATTTTGGTGCTCCGTTTTCAGCTGCCACGTGCATCTCGCAGCTTCCGCGCCTTCCACGCATCCCCCTCACCACCCCCCTCTCTCTCGCGAAGGAATTGCTTCCATCAACCAAACACCACGTTACAAAGGCCATCCTGGAAGCATACACACCCTGCAGCCTTCCCCTGAACCTTCAAACATGCTAACATGCGCTCTTTGAAAATGGATGTTCATTCAAAATGGACTTCTTTTCTGTTGCACCTCCCACTTTGCCCTGGGCCCTGCCCTGTTTGCTCAACCCACTTGCTAGATCGTGGTTCATGCAAAGCTATCTTCCGTTCGAATATCCCTCAGTGCCGTGCCTGTGGTGCACTCCAGGCTTTCTTGGTATCACACAGGAAACCAACGCTTGAAGAAACATTGTTGCTAAAAAGCAGACATGCTATTTCTCTCCAGATAAAGCATGATCAAGTTGCCCTGTCTCTGCCGTTCAATCCCTAGCTTCGGTTTGGGGGATTCGACCTCATCGAGTCGGGGCATTCGACCCGACTGCCGACCCGCCGACCCGCCGACCCGACTGCGAGGCCAAGGCGGAGGCCAAGGCCAAGGCGAAGGCGTCGGCTTCGGCGAACGCCGACCGCGCGGACCGCGCGCCGGCGCCGGCACAAGCCCCGGCGCCGGCGCCGGCGGCGCCGCGGCGCCTGGCGCCCCGGGGGGAGCGGAGCGGAGGTCCCAGGCGTGGGACGGGCGCGGAGTACAGGGGAAAAGGTTGGCGCCATGAGCGTATATATATATATATATACACATGCAAATGTACGCGAATGGGATGTCGAAGCTATGGACCATCGAGGCATTGTGGCATTTGCTTTTACCCGATCGTATGCTGGGTGGGTGGATGGGACAGGGGTGGAGTATACGCTGCGTCTTTTCTGCTTCAGGAATCTGCGCCCAGGCACTGCGGTGATAGGCAAGGAACCTCCTTGCTGAGGCCCTAAGTTGACATTGGGGTGGGGTAAGCACAGAAGGAAGGACACGGAAGGATGGACGGGAAGACCGAAGCTTGCAGCATGGCCGTCTCCTTGAGGAGTTGGCTGTTCTTGATGTTTCCTTCTTTCGGGCTTGAAGGGACAGTTAAAGGACGCCCATTTTGTTGGCCAGATGAGACAAATCCACTTTATTTTTGTTGAGCTTGCAGGGCGGCAAGGCTTTGAATGTGCAAGGCGGTGGTGTTGCAAACGATAGTCAGCCTCGTGGTCAACGGAACCTCAAGAGCCATTTGGTGGTTCGGGACGCTTTTGGGGAGCCACAAGAGTTCCACCCCCACCCGAGCCCTCATTTGCCTATGTGCATTTGCAGTTGCCCCCAGAACGTCCTCCCTGGGGGGGGGGTTCCTCTTCAAGATCAGGGGCCCCGTGAAATAGGGGGTATGTCCCTCTCTTTCTTGAAAAAAACACCTCACTCTAGGAGTACCTTCCCCATTCTTTCCAGGGACCCTTCTTTCTATAAAGCCTCAAGAAACCCAGTGAAAACGACCGGTTGTGGACAAGAACGATGGTTGAAAAGAATGGAAAAGGAATCCACTCCTATCACTCGCTCGATTGCGGGCGGGCGGGAGGCCTTCCTCTCCGGCGCCGATCCCGGGGACGGCGACTGCTCCGGCGGTGCAACTGAGGAAAGGGAACGCCGGGCTTGCGCTCTCCTGGCAACAAGGGGGGGGGTTGGGCCAATCGCAGGGCACTTAGGAACCGTTTGCCACCCCCTTCGAAGTGCTCTTTGATC